CACAGAAATGGGTCTGCCATAGGACACGAGTGCCAGGAAGGGAGGAGGGGAACAGAGCTCTAGCTAACCAGAAAAACTGCCTGACTCACGGAGTGTGTGTCACGGATTCAAAAAGAAAGGTCACACTTCCGTTCCTTTCGTTGGTTTCGTTTCCGTGATGGTTAATTTTATGTGTCAGTGTGCCTGGGCTAAGGAATGGCCAGAGAGCTGGTGACGCCTTATCTCTGGATCTGTGTGAGAGGCTGTTTCTGGAAGAGATTAGCATTTGAATCTGTGAACCCAGGAGAGAAGATTCACCCTCGGCAACCTGGGCCAGCACCATCCAATACAAATACAACGAAAAGGCAGAGGAAGGGGAATTTTCCGGCTTCTTGAGCTGGGACATCCATCTTCTCCTGCACAGAGACATGCGAGCTCCTGAGTCTCTGCCCTTCAGACTCCAAGAACGTGCGATATTCATCTTTCTGTGCCTGGCTTATTTCACTTAATATAATAACCTCCAGTTCCAGCCACGTTACTGTAAATAACACAGCTCCTTCTTTTTTATGGCTAAATAGTACTCCGCTGGGTATACGTACATCATTTTATTACACAATCATCTGCTGATAGACACTTGGGTTGGTCCCACACCTTGGCCATTGGGAATGGTGCTTTGATAAACATGGGGTGCAGGTGTCTCTTCCAGATAGTGACCTCCCTTCTTTTGGGTACACATCCCTGATTCTTGAGCCTTCAGTCTTAGAGTGAATTGCATCACTGACAGACAACAGATGACGGAACTTCCTGGCTTCCATGATCATGTCAGCCAGTTGTCATAATAAACCTCACATGTTTCTGTCTATCTCCTGTTGGTTCTGTTTCTCTGGGGGACCCTGACGAATACTGGTTTACAAAAGATTCACAAAATGAAAAGAATAAGGAGTGCCTTGAACAGTCACCCACATCTTTTACTGGATGTAAAATCAGTTTTCTGTTTTGAAAAATAGGTAGCTGGGGTATTAAGCACACAACCTAACAGGCTGAACTTCACCTTTTTGTATTGGGTTTCTTTACATTCTCAGAAAATAAAAATGAATGCAGAACTCCTAACTGCACGTTTAGCATCGATTTGAATAGTGTATATGGTAACATAGACACCATATACATACAGAACTTTTTGAACTTTACAAGGTCGTTGTTCTGACATGGACATTCCTCCTTAAAAAATGGAATGCTGGGTCCAATCCATAGTGGAATATGTGTTTCATTTTCTTGAGACACCCAGCTCTGTCATCCAGGCTGGAATGCACTGGCTCGTGATCTCAGTGCAATCTTGGCTCACTCCACCTCCTAGGTAATATCCACCTCCCAGGTAACATCCACCTCCCAGGTTCAAGCGATTCTCCTGCCTTAGCCTCCCAAGTAGCCAGGATTATAGACACCTGCCACCATGCCTGGCTAATTTCTGTATTTTTTTTTTTTTTGAGACACAATTTCGCTCTTGTTACCCAGGTTGGAGTGCAATGGCGCGATCTCGGCTCACTGCAACCTCTGCCTCCTGGGTTCAGGCAATTCTCCTGCCTCAGCCTCCTGAGTAGCTGGGATTACAGGCACGCGCCACCGTGCCCAGCTAATTTTTTGTATTTTTAGTAGAGACGGGGTTTCACCATGTTGACCAGGATGGTCTCGATCTCTTGACCTCGTGATCCACCCGCCTCTGCCTCCCAAAGTGCTGGGATTACAGGCGCCAGCCACTGTGCCCAGCCCCATATTTTTAATCTTGCCAACCCTGGCAACCCACTAGTGGTCCCTTTCATCTGAGTTTCTTAGTTCAGACTGTTAGAACCAGAGTCCCAGACTTATTCAAAATGCATGTTGTTTTGAAAGCAACAGCTCCTACCCCGTGCTCGGTAAAGTCAGGAGACTGGAGAGAAAACCAAACCATGCAGGTGCGACATCCACGTCTAGCGCGCTTTTTCAACGTGTGCTAAGAGTTGTAGCCGCCCCCCACGAAACCTGAAGGGTTATGTTTTTTTTAGACATCCTTTGTGAAATGAACATGAAAGTGCTGGAATCAAAATAGGTCTGCGGCTAGACTCAGCGAGCGCTCACAGGAAGCCGGTAACCAGCAGAAATGGCCTGAACACAGCAGAGGCACGATAGTGATTTGCAAACATTAAAAGGAGTATCTTAGGAGAGGCTGTATGAAATCAGGAGAGCCAAACCGCTTTCATTCTTCTGTTCAGCCTAATACAGCCACTTAGAAGGGACCACTACTCAGACGTTCACTGATAAAGTTGGAGTGCTTTCTCTGGTGCTCTGAAATTGAGCTATAAAGTAAATATACGTTGCCTTTTGGGAGACAGAAATAAAAAAAAAATAAATAAAAGGAACACTTTTCCAGAGTGGGGATAATGTTCCCTGACATGAAGCTTGGCTGGAGTTGATTTTGAGAGATACAGAATATGGTAAAAAAGCAATAAGCCTTTGTTTGGAGAATCAACAAGTAACTACTGAAAACTCTTCCTATCCTGATGTTATTTGGGCTTTTAGGTATTACTATCAAAAGGGAAGCCTTTAATGCTGTTAGCTAAGCCTTTTTTTTTTTTTTTTGAGATGGAGTCCCACTCTGTGGCCCAGGCTGGACTGCAGTGGTGCAATCTCGGCTCACTGTAACCTCCACCTTCTGGTTTCAAGCGATTTTCCTGCCCCAGCCTCCCGAGAAGCTGCGATTACAGGTGCCTGCCACCATACCCGGCTAATTTTTTTTTTTTTTGAGGCGGAGTTTCGCTCTTGTTACCCAGGCTGGAGTGCAATGGTGTGATCTCGGCTCACCGCGACCTCCGCCTCCTGGGTTCAGGCAATTCTCCTGCCTCAGCCTCCTGAGTAGCTGGGATTACAGGCACGCGCCACCATGCCCAGCTAATTTTTTGTATTTTTAGTAGAGACGGGGTTTCACCATGTTGACCGAGATGATCTCGATCTCTTGACCTCGTGATCTACCCGCCTCGGCCTCCCAAAGTGCTGGGATTACAGGCTTGAGCCACCGCACCTGGCGGGGTTTCACCATGTTAGCCAGGCTGGTCTCGAACTCCTGACCTCGTGATCCGCCTGCCTTGGCCTCCCAAAGTGATGGGATTACAGGTGTGAGCCACCATGCCTGGCTCACTACCTATGCCTTTTGTAGACCATAATACATAAACTCCTGGGTCCACCTTTGCTCTCCCTCTGCTTCCCAGGATGGTCAATGCATTCATTCAGGACTTGCTGATACCTTGCAACTTGCAGTGTCTCCCCCGACCCTCCTGCCACCGCCCTGACTCCCCCCAGCCCCATGAAGCTGGCTTTCATCTTGTTTATGCTGGAATTTGTTTACAACTCTGTGAGAAGCAGGCAGTGAAAAGCATGACACGTCATCCCACCACAGAAAGGGAAAGAGATCTTGAAGTAAACATCAGCTGTAGGAAATCTTAATATTCAAGTATTTGAGTTTTTCGTTTTTAAGCATAACTTTCTGAATTTTGGAATATAATATGTGCTGAATAAAGACGGTAATGAGTAGAACCTAACTGCTTTTAAAGAAGCTAATTTTTGCTGAATATGGTGCTCATGCCTATAAGCCCAGTACCTCAGGAGGCCAGTTGAGGCCAGGAGTTCGAGACGAGCCTGGGCAAAAAAAGCGTGATCCTGCCTCTACAAAAAATAAAGAAAATTTCGACCTAGGCATGGTGGTGCATGCCTGTAGTCCCAACTACTTAGGAGGTTGAGGTGGGAGGACTGCTTGAGCTCCGGAGGTCAAGGCTGTAGTGAGCCATGATCACACCCCTGCACTAAGGCCTGGGCTACACAGTGAGACCCTGTGTCCAAAAAAAAATATATATATATTTTTATTTACTACTGCCGAACAAGAGGGATACCCAGTGACAATGCATTCCCTTCTTCTTTTCTTTTCTTTTTTTGAGACAGAATATCACTCAGTTGCCCAGACACAGTCCATTGGCATGATCTCAGCTCACTATAACCTCCATCTCCTGGGTTCAAGTGATTCTCCTGCCTCTGCCTCCTGAATATGCACCATACCCAGCTTTTTTTTTTTTTAATTTATTTTTTATTTTTAGTATAGACAGGGTTTCACCATGTTGGCCAGGCTGGTCTCAAGTGAGCCTCCCGCCTCAGTCTCCCAAAGTGTTGGGATTACAGGCGTCAGCCACTGCACCCAGCCAACACCTTCCGTTTTGACAGTATCCGGTATTCACTGAGCTCTGAGCATGTGTCGTGCACATCACTAGGATCGGCCGTCAGCGCAATCAGTGCATGTCAGGACTCCAAGAGGCAGGTGTTACGATAGGCTCCACTTAACCAGAAGAGAAAGTGGGGCTTGGAGACTCGGCCAGGTCACCCTTTGTCAGAGGCACTCCGGGTGTTGGGTGCAGGCAAACCTCGGAGGGCAAATCCCCAGCACCATCTGTGGCCCTCACATGGGGCAGCACCGTTCAATGCTCCTGGGAGGTGGTGGCACACATGTGTGCCCCAGAAGTCACCAGGCAGCCAGCTGGGCCGACTGACAGGGACATGGCCCTTTCCTCTATTTCCTGATGTACACACGTTTCTGTATTTACGCAGGAACCCTGCATATCTTGTGTGTTTGTTTCAAGGAATGAAAGTGATCACATAGGCGCCCGTCCTCTGAAAGCAGCAGATGTTCTATAAACACAAGGTTGTGTCTGAGAGTGCCCATTTTGGAAATCAGAAATCCGAACATCTCAGAGGTGACATATCTGGCCCAGCCCCATAGAGCAACTTGGCAGCAGAAGCAGGAACGGAACCCAACACTCCTGTTCCTGGGTTTTCGCTAGTGGCACGCCCAGGCAGCTGCCGGGTGCTAACAGAAGACAGCACGCTGTCTGCAGGGCTCCTGCTAGGACCGGAGTGCTGGGAGCTACAGGAAGACTCTCTCCAGCAAACCAGAGGAAATCTATTCAGACAACACGAGTGAATGAAGGGGAAGAACTTCTCTTTACCTGAGGAGTGGAAAACAGTAGCCCTGTGACTTCATGCCTCACCACGGCAGCATTCCCGGGGATGTTTCTGGCCAACACTGGAACTTCTAAATCCATCGCCTGCAGGAGACAGGAGGAAAGGGGCGGAAGCAGTCAGTTCAAGAGCGTCTGCGGCAAGGTGAGCCAGGGAACGCGGAATAACTTCTTGGGTTAATTGGACCTCCGGCACCTCGCACAAGAAAACACCTCGCCAAAAGGAGATCCCAATCTCAAAAGCACATTTTTAGAATACTACTGAATTTTAATTACTTATCATGGTTGGAAGCTCTGAAACACTATGTACTGTAATCGTTCATCTAACATAATTATTGCAGTGCCACAAAGGCCACAAAGAGCCCCCCTCCCCTCTCCGAAGGCTCGCTGGACAGCTCATCACCAACTGCATGGAGTATGCATTTTTAATCACCATCCGCACTCTCCCTGAAGAGCCATTTTCTTCCAGCACAGGCAAGGGAGTGTGAATGCTACAAAAACCAAGCTCAGCCCTCTGGCATGCTTACAAAGGGGAAAAGAAAACGATTTCGCATTCCGATTATTCACGAAGCCGAGTTTCCGTTTCCAAAGGTCTGGAGAGCAGCACCTGACACCCCACAGCCTGGCGGCAACTGGCAGTTACGCCACTAGAAGATGGCCCGGCAGCACAGTGCACAGCCCTGGCCTCACCTGCCCAGGAAGGAGGCATTTCGCGGGCTCTCTTTCTACAGTGCTCGAAGTGTAATGACGTCAGGTCGAAAGGAAACAGAAGCCAGCTTCAAGGGAATCCCACTGACCACGGCGGGACGATTTTGCAACTTCAAAAAGAATGATGACTGTAACAGATTGTAATACACGAAATTTCAAGAATACCTGATTCCTTAGTGATGAGAGGGAAATAAAAGGAAAGAGGAGGAGGAGGAGGAGGAGGAGGAGGAGGAGGTGGAGGAGGAGGAGGAGGAGGTGGAGGAAGAGGAGGAGGAGGAGGAGGAGGAGGAGGAAAAGGGAAAGCTTTTCTCTACAGAACAATCTGCGCGTAGATTTTCTATAATAAGTGCAGACATAAGAGCAGAATTAGAAAATCCTCCCTTCGTAACCCCCAGTGTAATCACTGATTCAGACAAGGACCAGGGATCAATAGTGGAGCCTAATGGAGCCTGATCAAACCCGTCAAGTAAAAGGTCACCAGGAAACGGGATACAGATAGATGGTCTCCGACGTACGAGGGTTCCACTTAGGGTTTTGTGACCTCACGGCGGGGCAAAGCCATATGCATTCAGTGAAAACCACACTGCAACAGCAGTACGACCATTCTGCGTGTTGACGTTCAATGCAGTGTCCAATCATAACATCTCCCATGAGATCGTCAACACTTTAGCGTAAAAGAGGTTGGACGGTCTTGCCCCACGGGAGGCAAATGCAAGTGTTCTGAGCATATGTAAGGTCAGCTGGGTTGAGCTATGATGCCTGGTAGGTTAGGGGTGTTAAACGCATTTTGAACTCACGGTATTTTCAACTTGTGATGGGTTTATCGGGATGTGGCCCCGTCAGAAGCTGAGAAGCATCTGTGTCCCCACATCCCAAAGCACCACTCCACGGATGACTTACGAAGCACAAAGGCGAAGTGAGCCTTCACAATGGAGGCATCTGTCAGCAACAGGCAGAAGAGCTGACGCCTTTCCCGTCTGACATGCTGGGAAGTACACATCGCCTGTGTGGCGTCCCAGCTGGAGGTGGGATGTCAATCCAACCCCAAGGAATGCATCCGGCAAATCCATGGTTGCCGTGTTCTCTAGGACAACCGACCAGACCCTTCAGAGGGTACAATGTCATAAAGGGCTATGGGGTGCTGGGTTTCAGTACACTAAAGAGACACAAAGCCAATGCAATGCGTGCTGTGTGGATCCTGCAGGAAAAGAAAAATAGGCCACTGAGGGAATGGAGCAGGGAGCGCACGTCCGGTGGTGTAACTCAGCTGACACTGAGGTCACTCAAGCACGGTCCTGGCTCGTCAGGTGCAGAGGACCCCTGTTCTGCAAGGCTGCAGAGAGAAATATTCGCAGTGCCGTTATCAACCATCTTCTTTCAGGTGATTTGGCAAAAGAAAGGAGAGAGAGAGAGACGGGAGAGGAGGAGAGGAGGCAGGAAGACGAACACGGATGAAGGGACACAGGTATTCGCTGCACGGCTCTTTCTGTTATTCTACAGATTTTACACTTTTTAAAAGTGAACACATAATAACATTTGTAAGGGAACCCCTGAAGCTGACCTGCCTGGGCATGAATCCTGGTTCCTCTAGGTACTAGTTGTACAATCTTGGGTCAACATCTCAACCTCCCCCAGCTGTTTGACTGTTTCCCCTGAGGTAAAATAGAGACAATAAAATCTCCTTCATAAGGGTAGTGGGGAAGATTAAATAATGTTTTTCTGGGAGGGGGAGATGGGGTCTCGCTCTGTTGCCCAGGCTGGAGAGCCATGGCTCAATCTTGGCTCCCTGCAACCTCCGCCTGCTGCACTCAAGCACTCTTCCCACCTCAGCCTCTCTAGCAGCGGGACTACAGCACATGCCACCATGCTCAGCTAATGTTTTTAAAATTTTTTGTAGTGATGGGGTCTTGCTATGTTTTCCAGACTCATCTGAAACTCCTGGGATCAAGCAATCTGTCCGCCTTGGCCTCCCAAACTGTTGAATTACAGGTGCGAGCCACCGTGCTTTTCCGGATTAAACTTGAATTACAGGTGCGAGCCACCGTGCTTGTCCAGATTAAACTGCTGAATTACAGGTGCGAGCCACCGTGCTTGTCCGGATTAAACAACTGTTGAATTACAGGTGCGAGCCACCGTGCTTGTCCGGATTAAACTTGAATTACAGGTGCGAGCCACCGTGCTTGTCCGGATTAAACTTGAATTACAGGTGCGAGCCACCGTGCTTGTCCGGATTAAACTTGAATTACAGGTGCGAGCCACCGTGCTTGTCCGGATTAAACTGCTGAATTACAGGTCCGAGCCACCGTGCTTTTCCGGATTAAACTTGAATTACAGGTGAGAGCCACCGTGCTTGTCCGGATTAAACAACTGTTGAATTACAGGTGCGAGCCACCGTGCTTGTCCGGATTAAACTTGAATTACAGGTGCGAGCCACCGTGCTTGTCCGGATTAAACTTGAATTACAGGTGCGAGCCACCGCGCTTGTCCGGATTAAACAACTGTTGAATTACAGGTGCGAGCCACCGTGCTTGTCCAGATTAAACTGTTGAATTACAGGTGCGAGCCACCGCGCTTGTCCGGATTAAACTGTTGACTTACATGTGCGAGCCACCGTGCTTGTCCAGATTACATGCCTTAATCCTACAGACTTTAGATCTGTCTCCGGGCACATCTGTCACTGCGAATGACGTCGCGGCAGCAGATGGCCCCCTACCTGACTCAGTAAGTTTTACAGAGCACAGTGACCCATCCCAGGTCTTGAGAGCGCACTCTAAACCCACAAATCCCAACTAAAAAACAGGTGACCTTAGAACTAGACCTCGAGATAAAGTAAATTGAAATTACATTAAAGTTATATTAGGCTGGGTGTGGTGGCTCACGCTTGTAATTCCAGCACTTTGGGAGGCCAAGGCAGGCAGATCACCTGAGGTCAGGAGTTCGAGACCAACCCGGCCAACATGGTGAAACCCCAGGTCTACTAAAAACATAAAATTTAGCCGGGCATTGTGCTACACACCTGTAATCCCAGCTACTTGGGAGGCTGAGGTACAAGAATCCCTTGTCCAGGAGGTGGAGGTTGCAGTGAGTCTAGGCTGCACACTGCACTCCAGCCTGGGCAACAAAAGTGAGACTCTGTTTCGGGGGGAAAAAAAAAAGCTATATTAGTCATTGTTAGTAGGCATATGCCAAAGAAGGAAGGAATTTGGAATTTGGGCCCCTTCCTCACTCCACGCATACAAAACTCACTCAAAATGGATCACAGACGTAAGGTAAGAATTACAACCATGCAATTCTTAGAAGGAAATACAGGATTAAGCCTTTAAGATTGTGGGTTAGGGAAAGCTTTCTTACCTATGGCATCAACAACGCAAGCAACAACAAGAAAATGGTTAGACTGGACTTCATCAGAGCTAAAAACTGAGCTGGGCGCAGTGGTTCATGCCGATAATCCCCGCACTTTGGGAGGATGAGGCAGAACATTGCTGGAGGCCAGCCCAGGCAATATTGTGAGCTCCTGTTTCTACAAAAAATAAAATGATAAAAATAAATTAAAATTAAACACTTTTGAACTTCACTGGAAACCACTAAGAAAGTGAAAAGACGACCTGCAGAACGGGAGGGACTATTTAGAAAATACGTATCTGATAGGCTGATAGGAGACTTGTATCTATAAAGAACTCTTACAACTCATCTATGATAGGAGAACACAGTTAAAGAGTGGGGTGTGACTAGATACTTCTTCAGAGAAGATATAAATAGGGCAATAAGCATATGGAAAGATGCTCAGTATCAGCCAAGTGCGGCGGCTCATGCCTGTAATCCCAGCATTTCGGGAGGCTGAGGTGGGAGGATCACTTGAGGCCAGGAGTTCAAGAACAGCCAGGCCAACATGGTGAAACCCTGCCTCTACTAGAAATACAAAGAAAATTAGCTGTGCATGGTGGTGTACCCCTGTGGTCCCAGCTACTCGGGAGGCTGAGGCATAAGAACTGCTTGAACCAGGGAGGCAGGAGCTGCAGTGAGCCAAGAATGTGCCACTGCACTCCAGCGTGGGCAACAGAGCGAGACTCCGTCTCAGAAAAGAAAAGAACTTTCCCTTTCTGATAATGATGCCTGTCATACTGGATTAGCCACCCCCACACCCTCCTCCCTCCCCACAGGAACTTCATTCTAATTTGATTACCTCAATCTCCAAGTACATTCCCTTTCTGAGGACTTCAACACAGACATTTGGGGAGGGTCACAGTTCAGCCCCTGACACCCACGGAGCCTGCACTGAGCACACCCTGGGCCGTCTGCTGTCACATCGAGCTGCTGCATTTCCTCTTGAGCACATACCATGTCCTAATGCTCTCTGATCACTCTTCCATTTGCCTGCT